TATGTTTAAATTTTGTGGGAAAAAAAATTATAGCTCGGCCCAAAGTAAAAAATTAGCCCACTTAAATGGATGAATTTTTAGTCCAGTTTTTAAAATTAACCCACACACAATTTAACTCTAAAACATCAGACCCGTTTGCCATAATGTCATTCCCTTAAAAAGTCCAAACCTCAACCCAGTAGCCCAATAGTCATACATCTAATCCGCCTCTTTTAGAATCTCAAATCTGAAATCTCCATTCTCATGTTCCCGTTGATTCTAGAAACACTGAAGCCTGATTGAAGCTGAAGCCTTTGCAAGCAAGATTCCAGAAAGAAAATGGTCATTAGCGACAACCACGTTCGAGGTATTTTTGTTTCCTAATCATCACGATTCATCACTTTATCTCCTATTCTTCGCTATAATTTTGAGGTATTGATGTATTGTCATTTTATGCACAATATCAAAATGCTTTGTTTTGTAGTTTGTAGGAAATTATAATTTTCTTATATATCTTCTTATATAAATAATTCAAACTACGAGGACACCATCAATTTCTCACACTCATCGCTAGCACAATGCATAGTATGTGAGCGAACTAATCTTGAATAAATCATCTATTGAGTTGTATTGTTTGGTGTGCATTAGTTTTCCCTCAATATATATTTACGAAGAAAGTCTTTTACCCTTGAGCTCTCGGTGTTTATGCCAATTTGGTTTACAAATGAGCTGATTCCGCCTTTTATATCTTCACTTTTTTTTTTAAATGAACTATGATGATCTTTCTTATCCTACTATGAATATTAACTCTGTAGATAATTCTAATGAGACAATTACAAGGTTCTAGCAATATTGTCTTCACAACATTTTAGATATATTTTCCATATTTTCCGTTCTAGAAAACTTTTCTAATGCCTCCCTACTTTTCTCCACAAGATTGCACAATGTTTTAGAATCTTCTGCAACCCTTTTCAAGTATCCCTAAATGTATAATATGCTAACTTGTTAGTTAGCCCGTGTCTCAAGCAGGGGCGGATTTAAAAGGGAGTTGTATTGGGCTACAGCCCAGTTCAGCTTCGGCCCAGATACCATTTTTATGTGTAAATTTTGTGGGAAAAAATTTATAGCTCGGCCGAAAGTAAAAAATTAGCCCACTTAAATGGATGAATTTTTAGTCCAATTTTTAAAATTAACCCACACACAATTTAACTCTAAAACATCAGACCCGTTTGCCATAATGCTATTCCCTTAAAAAGTCCAAAACTCAACCCAGTAACCCAATAGTCATACATGTGATCCGCCTCTTTTAGAATCTCAAATTTGAAATCTCCATTCTCATGTTCCTATTGATTCTAGAAACACCGAAGCCTGATTGAAGCTGAAGCCTTTGCAAGCAAGATTCCAGAAAGAAAACGGTCATTAGCAGCAAGCATGTTTGAGGTATTTTTGTTTCCTATTCATCACGATTCATCACTTTATCTCTGATTCTTCGCCATAAGTTTGAGGTATAGATGTATTGTCATTTTATGCACAATATCAAAATGCTTTGTTTTGTAATTTGTAGGAAATTATAAAATTGAATTTCTATCAGAAAAATAAAAACAAGAAAGTGAAGAAACTGTTTGAATAAAAGTCACAATAGGAACATTTTCGGATTTCCCCAAATTAGTGTCGATTGAATGAAAATGGATACAGAAGACTAGAAGAGAAGAGAGTACAATGGATTTTGGGTAATAAATTAGTGGGAACACCGAACAGGGCAAAATAAAAGTGTGAAATCGCATACTAATACTATGCGGGCCAAGATTATATTTTATTAGAAATCCAATATCTCGGGTGTAATTGTAATTGTGAGATTCATATCTAATGAGTAAGCTGGTTAGGTTATTTCTGTTATCAATTTTGATTAGGTTTATAATAATAGTTTTGTTAGTATGATTTTACGATTTTCATGTTTTATTTTTTAAAATATAATTGAATATGACTTCAGTCGTTTATTTTAGTTACTAGCTCTATAGTTACAAATGGAACATTGTCAATCATCTGGTACTAAGAAGCGAAAAACATTGTTCTCCTTCTTTAAAAAGGTTGGTGAATCTACCACAAGTGCACATTCTGAACCTGTTATAGTTGAAGAGGATACTTCAGTTCATCATCCTCCAATTTCATCTCCTCAATTTGAGCCTAATTTGTCTCCACGACCTGGTTTACAACCATCTATATTGATCGAAAGGGACCCCGAAAAAAGGAAGCATATTAGTGAACATCCTATTAATTTACAAGATGAGATTAGACGGGCTTATCTACGAGCAAAGCCTTATCAACCATTTTTGTTGAATTATCAGAAGTCAATATTTGGAAATCAAAATCATCGATTTCAAAAAAAAAAAAATGGTTCAACCAGTTTCGGTGGTTGGAGTATTCGCCTTCAACAGATAAAGCATATTGTTTTTACTGTTTTTTGTTCTCGAATGATGCTAATTTATCCAATAGTTTGGCATTGGTCACAGATAGATTTAACAATTGGAAGAGGGTTAACCAAGGAGACAAATGTGCATTTCTTACTCACATGGGTACACCAGTGTCGGTCCTGTGATTTTTGGGGCCTGAGGCGAACTTTCTAAATTAGGCCCCAAAAATTATAGTATGCATGCAAATTTTATCAGTGTCTTATTAAATCAATTGTTAAATTATTAACTTAAAACTTAACAGTAAACACAACAAACAAAATGTATTATACACAATATTTTTATTATAATCAAATAACAAATTTGACAATGCCCCAAATGATCAATTAAATACTAAACAACCAATGTTCTACCATTTCGTGCCAAAAAGATTTCAATATTAATTTCAAATTCTGAATTTAAACTCCAAAGTACAAAGAAACTAGAGAAATAACATTTAGGGGGTGTTTGTTTCCCATTTTTGTAAAAATGAAAATGAAAAATATAGTCGTTATGGGCTCCACACAAGAGATAGAAATTCAAATTTGGTAGTTTGATGTGATGGATAACGGTCATATTTTTCATTTTAATGGGGAAAGAATGAGAAACAAACAGGGGCTTAATTCCCAATCAAATAAGTGGTATCTAACAATCAAAGAAAAATTATGATTCACTTGAAGCATCAGATAAATTCAATTCCCCATACAAACATAATGTAGGAGGTGGTAGCCATCCAAAAGTTCTTAAGAATTTCTACTTCAACAATACACAAACCCCACAAATATAGCAAAATATCTATCAATCTACATAGCTACATAATGTTTATTTTCAAAAGTTGCATTATAATCATATATCAATCATAATTATAACTTAATATCATATATTAATTAGGAAAAAAAAGACAAAAATAACATACACATTTAACTCTTTCTTCTTAAAATATCCGAGAAAGCAAAACAACAAGATTATTAGCACAATTCTTTTTAAAGAGAACCCAATAATTCAAGGAAAAGATTTGTTGATTTGTTAATTTTTCAACCCAAATAGTCTCAAGAAAGGTTTCTATCTTTTTTTATGAATGATAAGTATAAAAGTAAACAAGAATCATTTCAAACCACATATAAGAAAATAAAATAGAATTACAAACCTAAGAGGAGGATAAACTTGAAGCAGCAAGCCTATTTCTGGAAAATATCACTCACAAATCGAGAAAGAATTGATAGGATTTTCTATTGGATTTAACTTAAAATTAACTACAAATTAATTGTAGATTCTCTCTCGCACGCATGCACATAGACCAAACGGGAAGAAAGAAATTGGCCTTACATCTAGTTTAGCAAGCCTATTTCTGGAAAATATCACTCACAAATCGAGAAAGAATTGATAGGATTTTCTATTGGATTTAACTTAAAATTAACTACAAATTAATTGTAGATTCTCTCTCGCACGCATGCACATAGACCAAACGGGAAGAAAGAAATTGGCCTTACATCTAGTTTTTTAATCCATTCCCAAAAAAATAAAAAATAAAAATAAAAAATAAAAAATCTGAGGCCCCCTTTTAAATTGGGCATGACATTTGCCTCTGCCCAAAATTGAGCTTGTTCAACACTTTCATTATTTCATAATGTGTGTGTAAGAAGAGCTGAAGATTTAATGAGACTATCGAGACATATTGATAAAGGGATGAATGCTATAACAAGAGAGGAAGTTCTAAAAAATCGACTACATCTGGAGACTACAATTTTAAGTGTAAAGTGGCTAGCACTTCAAGGTTGGGCTTTCAGAGGTCATGACGAATCTTCATCATCGTTGAATCGTGGAAATTTTATTGAATTGGTGAAAGCTTTTGCAAAAATGAATATAGAAATTGGAGAAGTTGTATTGGATAAAGCTCCTCAAAATGCTACGTGCACTAGTTCAGATGTTCAGAAAGAAATTTTGCACATTATGGCTAATAGAGTGCGACAGATGATTCGTGAGGAGTTTGGAGAAAATTGTTTTTGTATTCTCGTTGATGAAACGCAAGAAGAATCTAAAAGAGAACAAATGGCCATCTTGCGATTTGTGAACAATGATGGTATTATAATAGAATGTTTCGTTGCGATCAAAAGCGTGAGTGACACTACATCATCGAATCTAAAAAATGAGATATGTGATGTTCTTGTTCGTCATGACCTTTAGGTTAAAAAAATTAGAGGGCAAGGCTATGATGGTGCTAGCAATATGCGTGTTACTTGGAACGGACTTCAAGCGTTATTTCTTAAAGAATGTCCGTATGCTTACTATATCCACTGTATTGCCCACCGATTACAACTAACATTGGTTTCTGCAGCTAAGGATGTGATTTGTATTTGGAAGTTCTTTTTTCATTTGGACAATGTTGTTAATATTATTACTTCTTCTCCTAAGCGCATTAATGCATTACAAATTGCTCAAAGAAGAGAGCTTGGAGATATGTTGGCTAGTGGAGAACGATAATCTGGAAGCAAGATCAATCAAATTGGTAATTTGCAAAAATCAGACTCTACTCGTTGAAGTTCACATTATGAATCAGTAAAGAGTTTGATAGATATGTACGCTGCAACTTGCAAGGTACTTGAGTATCTTATAGTTCATTCTCCAAATAGAAGATCTCGTGCTGAGGCTTATGGTGTTTATGAAATCATTAAAAGCTTTGAATCTGTATTCTCATTGCATTTAATGCATAAAATCTTGGGATTCAGTGACATACTTTGTCAAGCTCTTCAAAAAAGATCTCAAGACATCGCGACGGCTATCAGATTTGTCTCCACCACAAAAGGTCTCCTTCAAGAATTTAGAGAAGATGGTTGGGAAGAATTTCTTAATGAGGTGAAAACTTTCTGTTTAAGAAATGATGTTGATATACCCGACCTAAACTCGTTTTATAAGATTGGTCGTCCTCGTGAAGAAGTTATGCTTGAGCGTCATTACCACTTTAATGTTTTTAATGAAGCCATAGATTTCCAACTGATGGAGTTAAAAACAAGATTTAATGAACTAACGGTAGAACTCTTTTCTCTCACTATTGCTTTGGATCCTCAAAATTCTTTTGAATCATTCAATGGGGATGATATTTGCAAACTTGCAGAGAAGTTCTATCCTTATGATTTTCACAGCAAGAGCTTTATTCTTTGAGGTTTGAGTTGAAACATTATGAGTATGATGTGATTCGTGATCCTCGATTTCAAGTTTCTTCACTTTCTGAATTATGCAAGCTTCTAGTTGCAAGTAGAAGGTCGGAGAATTACATTGTTCTCACTAAATTGATTCGTCTTGTCCTAACACTACCTGTATCTACAGCGACTACTGAGCAAGCCTTTTTCAGCAATGAAACATGTGAATACAGCAATTCGTAATAGAATGGAGGATGAGTTTCTTGCTGATTGTATGACGCTCTACATTGAACGAGAATTTGTTGAGAAAATAGATGTAGATTCTATTATCGACAAGTTTTATGCAGTTAAAGCTCGACGGGCACAACTTCAATAGGTAATGTCGTAATGAAATTTTATGTTGTATACTTTATAAAAAATTTTGCGTATATATTTTAAATTTTAGCCCCCCTCAACATAATTTTCTGGATCCGCCCCTGGTCCCATGCTTTATCCCTTGGTATTGGATTTTCATGTCGAATTAAGATAATTCGATCTATTTATGTTTTTACGCTGGGCAGTAACTGGCATTAAATATTAGTTCGTCTTAATTGGGCGATCAAGTTATTACTTCAAAAAAAAAAATGTTTTATGCTTTTATGCTAGAGAAATGGGGGTGTGTTAAGTATTATTTGGTCTTAGTAGTAATCAAACTAAGATGTTTTTAGGAGTGGGCGTCGGTCTGGTTTCAAAGAGAACCGAATCGAATACCAATGGAAATTTTAGAAATGGAACCGGAACCAATCGATACAGGTTTGGTTCGGTCCGGTCCGATTCGATTCTTTACATTGAAAATGTCAAAATAAAGCTCTTGTTTGATTTTTATTCTTTTAAAAAATACATTCTTAAACAGTATTTTGACATCATTTCAAGTACACATTTTCAATAAAATAATATTATACGCAAATTCAAATTTTTTAAAATTTTTTAACCACACATTTTTTATCAATATACTATTCAAAAATTCATTCTTATCAAAAGAATGAGGCTTAAACAAGGGCGAAATGTTCACTAATAAAAAATTTAACAAAATATAGAAGAACCAATCATATTATTCAAAGATTAAAAGAAAATTAAATATACAAATTTAAAAACAATATCCAAATAATATAAATTACTATCATATAAATCGCATAGTACTCCAATGAGTAAACTGACTTCCATCAAAATCAAAATCTTACATTAAATTGGACACCCTTATAAAATTTATTGCAACTTCTAATTATGTTGGTTACAATTTGTAGATATCTAAATGAAAAGTTTCGATCTAATCAACAACTATGTAATCAAAGTGAAAACAAAATAGAAATTTTGCATCTTAGAAATGAAATTATATATTGTAAATAAATCTATTTAGGTATAAATTTACCCAATATTCTATTTTGGTTTGAGAATTAATTAATCAAAGAATTATAAAAAAGAGAGAATGAAAGAATCCAATCGAAGGAAAGTGCTAGAGTCCAAAATGAAGAAGGAACCTGATTATTTTTTATAGAAGTGATTGGAAACTGAATAATATATTTTACCAAAAAAAAAAGAAAAAAGAAAAAATTATACGAGAATCGTTGGTTCCCGACGGTTTTCATACTAGAACCGGGAACCGAACAGGAACTAATTGGTTCTTAATAATTTGTCCCAAAATCAAATCGTTGTTTAGAAAATTTAGAATTGAACCAGCCGATTCTAAACGATTCCAGTCCAGTTTCACCAAATCCGGGAAAAAATATCCACTCCTAGATGTTTCTTAAGAAACAACCTTTTAAATTGGTATAGAGGAGGATATGTTGTCTTAGAAGGCTAAATATAAATACACCACAGTTTTGAAGAACCTGGTTACATTTTAATTGCATGAAAGGTTAATAATCTTTACACATTATCACATTTATGTTCAAATTTTTTTTTTATTGCATTCTTATTCTTATATTAACATAAATGATTATGATTATGATTTCTCTTCAAAATTTTCTTTAAGTAGAGTCAAAAGATTCATTTGCTCATTGTATTTTTACAAAGCAAAATAATTAATAATGCAAAAAAGCGATTAAATATTTAACCCCATTTTAAAGCACTTTAACAATATTTTTGGTTACAAATTATGATTAAGGACAAAATTTTTAGTTTAATGAAATGTTAAAAATAAGAATGTGATGAAGAAAAAGTTAAAATATAAGTGATAATGAATAAAGGTTAATGAAATTTAATATAATTAAAATATAGTACATTTATAAAAATATATAATGAGAATATAAATATATAATCACTCTGATGAAATATGCTTTTCAATCCTTTGGAAGCAAATTAGTGTTGCTTGGTGCACAATTTGCATATTGGGGATGGCTAGTGGGCCATTTTCAAGCCCATAATGCCTAAATGTGGATCAATAATGCAGGCTACAATTTATTTTTTATTTTTTATTTTTAATTCACATCGATAACTTTTTGAAATTATTCACATAAGCCACGAAAATAGACAGATAAATCTCTTATCAAGCATGTTAATGGAATTTCATTTAACATCCAACCAAAATTCATTAGAAATATAAAATTGCTTGTAAACCTTTTAAAAAATAATAAAAAAATGTTTAATATATTGAATGATATAATATTGAACCAAATTAAATAATTTTATACATCAATTTAAATTTTTTCCCTACTTTTCAATAACACACTACCTAAAAAAATTAATATTTATAGAATATATTCAAAAAATGTGGCTCAAAGAGGGTTGAATAAATTTTGAAGTGATTTGTCAAATACATGCCAATAGGGACCATAGTTGTGCAATTTGAGTACATAAATTTTGAAATTTTACAAATGTTTAATATGTTGAATTAATATCGTACAAGAAAAAAGGTGATCAGATGCCGTGTTCACCGTAATCAATTCAATATGATATACCAAACGAGCCAATAGTGATTATAAAAGCACAATTTATTTTATAAAGTAAAAATGTGAAAGCCAATGTAACTAGAAAATGTATAGAACGAGTATTTGGTTTTCTTTTAAAAATAAACTCGATATTACTATTGTGGGTAGTACAATGCATAGAATTTCAATTCTTTTTCTCTCTCAAAATTGTTTGGTACAATTTAATTTATTTTACAAAAAAATCAAATAATATTATCAAGGTTTGAGATAATTAATTTTGAAATCTCAAAAATTGAATTTTTGGCTTTCTTTTGTCAAAGAGATGCCACAAGAAATTATATCACCATATGTATAATTATAATTATTACTTGTTAAAAGTGAAAACCAAATAATTAATTAATTAACATGCGTCATGCGTGCTCTAAGTGGACAGCTATCACATCTTGAATTCTCAAACTAATTAATTATTAGAAAAATATAAGACAAGTTACATATTCTTGTTTAATTCATTTGTAGTCACATATTTTGTCATATTTTTTCTATTTCCCCAGTATTTCTTTTATTTTGTATTTTGATCCCCTAACTTTTTTACGAGTTAAAGAACACTTTATATATTCAAATTGGGGGGAAAAACAACAAAAAGAAGATTAAGCCCCTATTTGTCTATCATTAAAACAAAATTTTTCTTTTTTAAATTTATTTTCAATTACAAATTCACACAATAAAATATTTTACATATAAGTCAAATTTTCTTTTACTTTTTAAATAAAATTTCTCCAAAATCGTTATTTCAAAACTTATTTTTCCAAAAAAAAAAATAGTAATAAAAATAAATCGTTAAGATGGTTGTCAAACAAGGGCTAAGTCATGTCAAATAAATATCGATATGGACGAAAATAATATATTAAGAAAACAAGATTTAAATGTATAGCGAAAATAGCTTTAACGCATATTTATTTGAAGTGCTATGGATCAAGAATATAATACAATGGGCATAAAGTGAAAATCTTATAAATTACAGGGGCGCGAGTGAAAGATTACTCTGCATGTTTCGTGTGTGCGTCTTTAGCTTTAAATGAATAATGGTCAAACCAAGCGAGGGAGAGAGAGAGATCAAAGCACGGAAGCATCGGCAGAGTTCTCGTTTACTCTACTTGTAAGATCGTGATTCTCTCTTATTTCTTCTTGTCCGTCAATTTTCTGTTCTTAGAATTTTCGAATTAATATCTGGTCGATTTATGAATAAAAATAGTTACAATTAATCCATACCCTATTTAATTCATTTGTTGATGCAGGGACTGCAAAACCTTTGAATTAATCTTGTTTTTTGCTTTCATTTTGAGTTGCCACATAAATATATAGAGCTAAACCTCCTTTAATGTTTATGTAATATTCTTGCTTTCGCTTTTGCTAATAACTGTATAAAATAATTTACTTTCGATGATAAATTTGGGGGTTAATGAATATCTTTGGATTTTGGAGATGGCTTTTGTTAGCTAAGCTAGATATGATTTTGGACAGTGTTTAATTTTGGAAAGGTTTTGTGTGTAATTTTGTAGCTTCTGTGGAGATAATGTCAAAATCAGATAATAGGAAGAAAACTGGTGAGAATGCAGGAACTTTGAAGTTTTTGAATGACCTTGAAACCATAAGTAAAGCCCTACATTCAGATAAAGCACAGCCGAGGGCCACAATTTCTACTGTTAGTAGTAGATCGAAATCTGTGGGAAAATCACATTTGCCCGAACCAAAAACAAAGCTGAAAGATGCTAGCAAAAACTCTAAAGATTCATTTGATAAGGACAAGAAATCCATCTGGAGTTGGAAGGGTATAAAGGCCTTGACCCATGTCAGAAACCGCAAGTTTAATTGTCGTTTTTCCGTCCAAGTCCATTCCATAGAAGGGTTGCCGTCATTTTTTGATGAAGTTAGTCTTATTGTGCATTGGAAAAGGCGGGATGGTGGGTTAGTGACACGCCCAGTTAGGGTTCGTGGAGGAACAGCTGAGTTCGAGGAACAATTGTCTCATTCATGCTCTGTTTATGGTAGTAGGAGTGGTCCACAGCATTCGGCAAAGTATGAGGCAAAGCATTTCTTATTATATGCCTCAGTATATAATGCTCCTGAGCTTGACTTAGGTAAGCATCGGGTTGATTTAACAAGGTTGCTTCCTCTAACGTTAGAGGAACTGGAGGAGGAGAAGAGCTCAGGGAAATGGACAACTAGTTTCCGTTTGTCAGGTAAAGCTAGAGGTGGGACTATGAATGTTAGTTTTGGTTATGCGGTAATTGGGAACAACACCACTGAGTCTACTAGCAACAACTATGTTTCCGCCCCTAGGGTCTTGCTTCGGAATAGGTCAAGCGCAACGAAACTCCTCGGACAATTTGATCTGTTGAATGAACTAAGTAATCAGCAAAGAGGATGCCATCCTGCAAGGTCTTCTACCTCAAATCTGTCTGCTGAAGATATAAAGGATCTTCATGAGGTGTTGCCCATATCAAGGTCAGAACTGTCTGATTCGGTGAATATACTATATCAGAAACTTGATGAAGAGATGTCAAAGGCTTCAGTTAATAATAAACCAGAGACTCTTCCTTTTTCTGAACCTGCTGAACCTCCTAAATTAGATTTATCTAAACCAACTAATGCGGAAAAACGTAGTCCTGAAACTGAATGCGAAATTGGTGAATATTCTGTCATAGAGCAAGGGATAGAAGGGTTGAAAAATGAAAAAGAAGAATTGGAAGATGTTAGGTTGAAGGCTGTTCAAGATTCTGTAGGAAAAAGTCTAGAAACCAACAGTGACAAAGAACTACCCGTTGATTCATCGGTTGAGGAAATTAAATGTCAAAAAGATGAACCATCGGTAAGTGATTGCAATTTTAAAGAGAGAGAGCGCACTAAAGAATCACTAATGAAAGAACTGGAGTTGGCATTGACTTGCACCTCAGATTTGATGAAAGAAGGATTAGAATCACAAGAAGATGAATGTGATATTTCTGACAAAGAATCTTATTCAGAGACCAAGTCAAGATACAGGAATCTTAGTAAGGGGAGATCCCTGAGCTTGGATGATATTACTGAATCTGTTGCTAATGAATTCTTGGACATGCTGGGGATAGATCACAGTCCATTTGGCTTGAGTTCAGAAAGTGAGACTGAGTCCCCTAGAGAACGCCTATTGAGGCAATTTGAGAAGGATTGTCTTGCCAGCAGTTCCTTTTTGGACTTTGATGTAGAAAACAATGCTGTAGAATTTGTTACTGATGCTCCAACAGCTTCTGGGTGGGGAACCATCTCTGACAACTTTGATAACTTGGTAATGGCACAGGACTATAAGGAGAGGCCTAATATAGAAACTGAGGCACTGAGGACTAAAATAAAGGCCTCAATGTTGGAGGACTTGGAGACTGAAGCTTTAATGCGTGAGTGGGGCTTAAATGAGAGGGCTTTTCAACATTCTCCACCTAGCAGCTCAGGTGGATTTGGGAGTCCAGTTGATGTACTTCCCCAGAATCCTCAGCAACTGCCTCCCCTTGCAGAAGGTTTGGGTCCTTTTTTACAGACAAAAAATGGAGGGTTTTTGCGCTCAATGAGTCCTGTGCTTTTCAAGAATGCAAAAAACTGCGGGAGCTTAATTTTGCAGGCATCAAGTCCAGTGGTGGTGCCTGCTGAGATGGGTTCTAGTATAATGGACATACTTCAGGGTCTGGCCTCTGTTGGCATTGAAAAGCTCTCAATGCAGGCAAATAGGTTGATGCCCCTGGAAGATATAACTGGGAAAACAATGCAGCAAATGGCATGGGAAGCTGCACCCAGTCTTGAGGGACCTGAGAGGTTTGTTACTGTTTAACATTGTTGCCCATCCACGTTTTTATTCATCTTCATTTTAACATTTATGGGATTGATAGTTTTATTCACGTTTTATCCCTGTCGCAGGCAAGGTTTCTTGCAGCATGAATATGAAATTATGCAAAACGCGTCTTGTGAGCAAAAGACAGTAAAAGAAACAACCTCTGGTGCCAGGTCAAGTAAGTTCGAATCAAATTCACTCGGCAGTGATGCTGAATATGTTTCCTTGGAAGATCTTGCTCCTCTAGCTATGGATAAAATTGAAGCCCTTTCAATTGAGGGTTTGAGAATACAATCTGGCATGTCGGACGAGGATGCACCTTCAAACATCAGCCCACAAAACATCGGTGAATTTTCGGCCCTCAAGGGAAAGACGGTCAATGTCAGTGGCTCCATAGGTCTCGATGGCACTGGTGGACTGCAACTTCTGGACGTTAAAGACAATGGTGAAGATATCGATGGATTGATGGGTCTGTCTCTAACACTTGATGAATGGATGAAGCTGGATTCTGGTGAAATCGACGATGAAGATCTCATCAGTGAGCGAACTTCTAAAATACTGGCGGCCCATCATGCTACCTCCTTAGAATTGTTTCGTGGCAGATCTAAGGGGGAGAAGAGACGGGGAAAGAGTAGAAAGTGTGGTTTGTTGGGTAACAATTTCACTGTCGCACTAATGGTACAATTGCGTGATCCTTTAAGGAACTATGAGCCAGTTGGTACCCCAATGCTAGCTCTTATTCAAGTCGAGAGAGTGTTTGTTGCACCGAAACCTAAACTCTACAACACGGTTACTAAATTAAGAAACTGCAATGATGATGATGATGAAGGAGAGCCCAAGGCTGCTAAAAAGGAAGACATATCTGAGGAGCCAAAAGAAGACATAATCCTTGAAGAACTTATTCCTCAATACAAAGTCACTGAGGTGCATGTTGCAGGTCTGAAGACTGAGCCGGGGAAAAAGAAGTTATGGGGTTCGTCTAATCAACAGTCTGGGTCCCGCTGGTTGCTCGCAAATGGAATGGGGAAGAAGAATAAGCATCCCTTGATGAAGTCAAAGGCTGTCGTGAAATCTTCTGCACCAGCTGCTTCTTCCACAGTGACAACTACGGTGAATCCTGGCGAAACCTTATGGAGCATCTCGTCTCGTGTTCATGGAACTGGGGCTAAATGGAAAGAACTCGCTGACCTTAATCCTCATATTCGAAATCCGAACGTTATCTTCCCCAATGAAACCATCAGATTGCGCTAGGGCCGCATTGTTTGTCTGTTAGATTGTATTTTGCATTAGTTAGATTGTCTTATATGGGATATTGTGGTGGACAATGTGACAACTAGGTTCAAAATATTGAAATTGGCTGTAAATCGAACACGGGAGGCTCTCTTCATTAACTTGAATGTACTTCTATATTTTTCTTGTGTAAAATTTATAGAGGATTGTTTATTTCGAAGGGGTGGATGCAGAAAAACTTATAGAATACTGTCTACTACATTTTTTCCTTGTGCAATCAGGCCAATGGGGATAAAATTTATGCTGCTATGAAATTGAGCTAAGATCATATGATGATATTAACAGGAAATCGAAAACTGGATGTCCAGAAGCATTCTACTAAATTCATCGAGTCATTACAAATGATCAGGAATTCCTTACCCGCTCCTGATATAATAAGAAAGCACCAAAAAATTAATATGCTTTCTCTATAATTCTTGTGTTGATGGGATGACACAAAGAATGAGAAGTTGCATGTAAAATGGAGACCATAACATTTGATATAGTTTCCATCTATATTTCGCCTATTATGAAATACAATTCTAAAGGAGTCCGATGTCTACACATATAATCCGTCCCACACTTTATTTAGTTACACTAAGCCCAATAACTTAATTCTTTATTAGATAACTTTAATTTTATGCTTAACATTAAAATAGCCTTTATACACAATTAATTCATATGTTTGCTCACATGGCAAATTAAATAATTTTCCAACAACAAAATTAATAACAAACATGAAAATTAAATGCTATAAAAAGCATAGCTACTTATCAAAGTAATTTTGCATAAATATGACGCTGTGTTTTGTGATGCTACTTGAATGCCTAAAAAATAAGCTAACCAAATTATCGGTGGAAAAAAGATTAGATGTGTGCACATATTTCATAATGAGCAAGGTTTCTTAGAAAGAAATTTCTTGCATAGAAATCTTCCAAATATATTTCATAATAAGACTCTTTGTCTAAATGTCCTAAAAAAAATTTTATGATACTAATTTGAAGACGAGTTTTGTTACCTACAATTCAATACTTTAAAACCAACCATAGAAATCACTAAAACATTTGATTTACCAATGTGCATCTATATAAATCGATTTTTTTTCCCTAGAAATGAGACATTCAAAAGAAAATTTTAAGTAATCATCTTGTCACCAAAATGCGAGAGATTGGGGATCTAGGCTGGTCAAATCCAAATAACACGATGGCTAAATATTGCACAATCCTAAGTAAGTGTTATGCTTTAGGTTCAATTGATTTTGGACATAAATAGTTTAAATATATAATTGATGCATTTTACTTATGACAGATCTATTGTTTACTTGAATTAATATTCTAATAAATTAAATATTAGAATCCGTAAATTCAAGTTTTGATAACTTGTTAATTATAAGGAAATGTGAGTATGAGCTATAAATTACATATGATTGAATCTTATATCATCCGTGATCATAAGTAATTACGAGATATGGATATTATTATTATGGATAGATCATCACGTGTGACATTTTTTAAAGTTTTGTGACACCTAAACAAACACGTAGATGTTTTGTTAAAGAATTAAACATTGGAGACCTACTGAAGAGATTTCACATGGATAACTATTTGAGTTTCAGTTGTTAATCTTTAACGTTCGATAGTGAAATTGGTCCTTCGACTTGATACCATGATAATGCAGTATATGAGAATAGTTATACGTTGGTGATACTGGATGTTGCTTTACCAAGAGTCGCTAATACAACATCGTTCGGGTATGTCAAGAACCATATGGGTTGTCAATGACTACTAGAGGATTTGCCACTCTTAAATAGCAAGAGAGTATAATCTATATTTCATTTAGTTAAGTTGATAAATGAAATTCTTGACTAAGGTGTACTTATAAGTAGAAAACTGTTTTCGACTTGCATTGACTTAATAGTGAAATGAAAGATACGATTGATAATTGAGATTTATATCGCATAAATGATCGGATCATATTGACGAAGGGATTATAATCTCATGCTAAATAAAAAAGTTTGATTTTGTAATACCATGTGACATTTTCAGTAACATGTGCTGCCCCAACAAATTGCTAGATGTGAATCTGGGACGAAAAATGTGAATTAATTAATCTAGGTGAATTAATGATAAATTAAAATGGTGTTTTAATTTACATTATTTTAATTAGATCAAAATAATGATTTATGTCGTTAGACATTGTGGTCGGGAATTTAATGGTCTATAAAAGGAGAATTAGAAGAATGAAAAATACTAATTACTTAATTGACAAATGTTGAACAAATAATTAATTAGGTGCTTACCTTGACCTTGTGATTATCCAATTACGAATCTCACTTTGGTTGGTTGAATGCCACGAGAATTAACCCGATAAGTTCAATATATTGTTCATGAAGAACAAGTAGAAAGCAAAACCTGCCTCTTAATTTTCAATAAGCCAAAAGTCCTCAATATAATGAAAATAACTCCTATTTATATCAAAACCCTAAAACCTAATTAAAAAAGGTAAAAACACGTCCAAAGATATCCTAGAGATAGTAAAATATAGAATTATAGTGTAAAAAGAAAACTCGCCAAAGCTGGAAATTTAGTGCCGAAATCGGTCTATGCGACCGCACAGTGTGTTGCCACTCGGTCACATAGACCACAAGAAAGGTGCTTGACAATTCCTCCCTCCTACTTGTGCAAAGGCATGAGCTACAACGCCATGCGGTCGTATAGCTCCCAATTGGACTCCTTCTTGGCCTTTTGACTCGTGTTGCCTCCAAATGTTTCGGCCATCGACCTTCCCACTTTATAGTTGGACTTTGACATGTTTTCTTTAATCTTTTGATCTCCATGGCTCAACCAAGCAACTGTGTGACTTTCATTAGCTCCTCAAGGTCTTGAACATGGCTTTGGTTTCTTCCAATTAATCATCACATCTTCGATAATTGGCGGCGCATCCTGAATCATATCATACCCTTCCTCTTCGAAAGTATTCGTCCTCGAATCCGTACCTGATTCAAATATTGTACTCCTTCCATCTATTTGTCCATTACCCAACTCTTGACTGTAACTTCTATCTCCCACAATGTCATGGTGGATTGTTTGTTATTCGATGCTTTACAATTGCTCCATTGCAATTGGATCAACTAGATACTCAAATAGTGATACTCCTTTATCAAAGTCCTCATGCAATAAAGTTTCATAATCCTGCCACAAAGAATTGTACAAACTAGGGAGGGGTTTGTTAGCTCTTACTAACTCGCTCTCACTCTCAACCTCACCTTTGATCGCATAGCTACTTGCCTTATATTTTTCTCTTCCCCCATCAGACTCCCTTTCTTTTTTTTCTGTGTCTCTAATCGTTTTTTTCACTCTTAGCCCCTCTCCATTTTCTCTCAAGCTCTCCTTTTGTCTCTCTTTTGTTTTTCTCTCATCACTACTCCTCAACCTGATTTGATCTTCACGCGCTTGTTGAGGTGTCAAAGGCACAAGTGTAATAGGTATTCCATCCTTGACAAAGCTGAACCTATTCCTAAACCCGTCATGTTTCACCTTCTGATCAAATTGCCACGACCTACCTAACAATATGTGACCCGCATGCATTGGCACTACATCATAAACCACTTTATCGTTATATCTCCCAATTGACAAATTAACCAACACCCTCCTATTAACATTAACCTCTCCTGGTTCATCTAACCACTTCAATTTATATGGTTTAGGGTTCTTTGTCATCTCCAATCCCAATTTCTTAACAAGTGTGGTGCTAGCTATATTAGTGTAACTAGCTCCATTAACAATCAAGTTGCATACCTTATTATTGACGTGGCACCATGTAGGGAAGATATTCTTCCACTACTCCTCTCCATCAACCTTGATTTGCGTGTTGAGAGGACACATCAAAACAAGCGCTTCCTCTTCAACCGAATGCTCTACCCCGTCACCATCACTAACATCTTTTAACTCGGGCATTCCATCTTCGTTACTGTCACTTACCACTTTTCCAACTGTCCTTCAAGATCATGGCTCGTTTGTTTGGATATTGAGAAGTAATGTGTCCCATTCCCAAGAACTTGAAGCATTTGATGTCCCGACTCCTGGATTGCTATGGTTCCGCCTTCGGTGCAGCCTTGCTAGCAATGTCATCCTTTCCCCTAAGTGGTTCAATTTTATTGTTTACAACAGCCCCATCAACCTTTTCTTCATTCCATCTAAACCTCTAAGGTAAATTGGACCCTGTTTGATTTATAGCTGCCTCCTTTCGTTTCAACCTTCATTGCCACATGTAACATTTCCTTTAACTCCACATAATGCTACAGCTCCACTACATTGGCAATATCCCGATTCAACCCATTCAAGAACTGTGTCATGGTGGCTTCCCGGTCCTCTTCCATATTCACTCAAATCATTAAAATTTCCATTTCTTTGCAGTAATCCTCCACACTCCTTGATCCCTGGCATAAACCCTGCAATCTTTGATATAACTCCCTATAACAGTGTCCTGGTAGGAATCTTTTCCTCATAATAGCCTTCAACTCATCTCATGTGCTTATCGGTCTCTCCCCATTCCTTCGCCGTGAAGTGACCACCTGATCCCACTAAATGATGGCGTAATCAGTGAACTCCAAGACTATAAACTTTACTTTCTTATCCTCCAAATAGTTGTGGCACTCAAATATCAGCTCCACTTTCTTCTCCCACTCTAGGAACGCCTCCGGATCACTCCTACCCCTAAAAGTCAGAATGTACATTTTCATGCCGTCCATACCTCCATCACCGTCATCTCCAACACTATTTCTACCCCTTCTTTCAAATCTACCACCTCTATTTCTCAATCTTCCCATCTCAACTTCTTCAAATTTATCCTCGTCCCACTCATTACCATATCCATGTTAATTTTGCACCTCCACTCTAGGCTCTCGTCTAGCCGACCTCCTAGCATGTGGTATGTCTACCCATCGACACCGACTAAGGCTTGTAACTGTCGTGTCTATCCTGTCCAACCTATTCTCCACATTGATTATCATGTGCTCAAACTGCTGCATCATATCGTCCACCATGTTATTTTGATTTTCCATCCTCCGCAAAGTGGATCCTTCCCATTTTGACATTCTCACAATTTTTCTGCCTCACATAATTTTTCACTTGGGAATTCACTCAATTTTGGCTTTCACCCTCAATTGAATTTACTACTCAGCCTTTTACCACTCAAGCTTTCTCCAAAGCCTTCAAGAACAATCAAAACTCAACCAGAAGTTATTCTCGCAGAATTCAAATCAAGTGAGATTCCTTGACCTTAAAAACTCAAAACAAAATTTTGAATTGGACTCAACGAATGCCAAAAAATTTTGGGGATTTTTTTTAATAGTACCGTGAACATAAAAAAAAATATTTTTTTATACTCTAAAATTCAACAATGAAGAACGTGGAAAATTAAACACAAAGACTCAAGCAAAATTAAAAAGGATACAACCCTAATTTGTTGGAGCCCAAGCTTTGATACCAAATGATGGGAACCTGCGTAGCTAGATTACTACAGAACCCGCAATGAAATTGAATCGGACCCAAGAAAGTTCCAAACAAATAGGTTTGTGGAATTTGACCCAAAAATAATGAATCAAACAACCAATACAATCGTACAGATATATTGACCTTTTGATTACACAATTAAATAAATGAAAATCCGAAAAAAAGTTCAATTCAATAAACTATTGAATCTGAAACCAAGACAATTACAAGAATACCTTGACCCTGTGATTGCTCAATTTACGAATCTCATTTTGGTTGGTTGAACGCCACGAGAATTAACCCGATAAGTTCGATAGATTGTTCGTGAAGAACAAGTAGAAAACAAAACTTGCCTCTTAATTTTCAATACACCAAAGTCCTCAATACAATGAAAATAACTCCTATTTATAGCTTGACAATTCCTCCCTCCTACTTGTGCAAAGGCATGAGCTACAACGCCATGCGGTCGTATAGCTCCCAATTGGACTCCTTCTTGAGCTTTTGACTCGTGTTGCCTCCAAATGTTTCGACCATCGATCTTCCCACCTTACACTCGGACTTTGGCATGTTCTCTTCAATCTTTTGATCTCCATGGCTCGACCAAGCAACTATGTGACTTTCATTAGCTCCTTGAGGTCTTGAACATGGCTTTGGTTTCTTCCAATTAATCATCACATCTTCGATAATTGGCGGTGCATCCCAAATCATATCAAGCTGTCAAGGTGAACGTCTGCAAAAATTGAAAATGTCATAGACATGCAAGATGAAGGAGAAGAAAAATGTAATAAATTCACAAAGTATGAGCTCCAGTAAATGTCAATGTCAAATCATATCGATTGTCCATAAAATCTACAAAGACCACAGGAACCAACACCATATTTCTCCAATGACTTCGTACATGACTCCTATTGTTACCAAATCAATACCCAATTAACCACTAGACACCACAACAAAAGTAGTTTTTTACAGCATATATATTAGGCATGTCGTAAAAAGATTGTTTTTATGGTGTGTCTTAAATGTTTGTCGTAATAATTCAAGTACTGTAAATGATTTATTTGTTATTGTTTATATTTAAAAAAAAAAAGAAAAAGCTAATTACGGTGGGCATATTATATGCCATGAAAAGCTACAATTTATGACATTCATTCTTGCAACCAGTAAAAAGTTATCAGATTAGAAAAGCTAAAATTTTCCTTCTTTTTGGCTGGTACCACATTTTTCATAGATTTTTTTTTTCCACATTTTCTATTTTCCTTTCCTTTCCTTTTTTTATCTTTCCTTTTCCATTTTTTTATTTTCTATTTTCATTCCCCAAGCCCCTCATTTTCTTCATTCTGTGTGTTTCTTCTTCCTTTCCCTTTCATTTTTCCATCCAATGCTCTTTACTTAATACCTATTCAATCTTGTTGCTAGATTTCATTGACGGTGATATAGCCACCAATCAGCTTTTCATTATACTCCAAACCCTTTATCCCTTTTTGCCAAAATCCCCCTCTTTTTCTCTTCTCCATTCAATTAACCTCTTATATGGTTTTCTCAAAATTAGATTACACATTTTCATCTGTTGATTTTGGTACTGGGTCCGAAGTGATTTTGATCTATGAGTGAAAGCATTGGTGTTGGGGATCCTGTCTTTGGCCGAAAATGTCCAGCAGTTTTTCTTCCTTCCCTTATGGCAGATTTAGGCTCAAGAACAGCCCTCCATGACTTGCAAATCACCTTCCAAGAGAGAGAGAGAAAAACCGGCAAAGAACCCACCACCTTCAAGCTAAAACCGAGAGACCATAGAGAAAGGAGAGGGAGTCGACTTAAGAAGGGAAGAAAAGGAAAGACCCATGCCTCTGACAAAAATGTGGGGGGCCTTATTGTGTCACCATCAATACCATCAAGTAAAAAACATCTCCCCCAAGATTAAATCCCGGCCGTCGATCTTCATCCAATGGTCCACAAAAAATCTGAATAAATGGAGTTAAGAGAACCTTATTCTCACATTCTTCACCTCGGTTCTCATAACACTCTCTCTTGGTTGCGAATTTGCACATGGAAGAACTGTTCATCATCATCGCCCGCTACCTACAAGAAAAAATTAACCAGTGTCAATATGTAATAAAGATAAGCACAATTTAAATTTACCTGCAGGTAGAATTTTTGTTCCCATATCAAA